GGGCTAGAGGGAGGGAGCAAGGGGAGGGTACTGGGGCTACTTCCTTGTTGCCGGGTAGACTTGCAGCAGGCTTAGACATGCCCGTAAAAGGCACTCAAGAGTACTAGCGGGGGGGGGGGACAAGGCCCCCCACACAGAGGGTGACAAGTTTAGTATCTTTAACTTCTAAACTCAGGTTATGAGCGTGCTCCCTAACTTCTTTAAAATGGTTCGTCATGAGGGACAGGGGGGTGGTCACAGTCTGTCCCATCATCTCAGTCCAAGTTAAAAGACAAAAATACACGATAGACAGACAAACACAACAAAAAAACAAAAAGCAAGACAAAACAGTCCTCCACTCGATCGGAGGCAAAACTGAAAATGGGACGATGGCCTCACGCCGTGCCGTGGGAGTGACCCGCACTGTCCCTCCAGAAGTCTCAGAGACTCGCGGGGCACTCTGTCCCCTACAGAAGGGTCTGGTACGTCTTCCAGGACCCCAGGTCAACGGCCCTCCAGCACGTCTGCCTAGACCATCTGCCGACCTACTCAGAAATGGGCCCCCAACTTTACAGATACAGAAAATCACCAGCCGGTATCGACCCTCCGGTATGGAGATCCTGGGGGTCTTGGGGATCCCGGATGAGCCCCCAAATGTTGTGCCCAGATTTCGAGGTCCCCAAAGACCACCAAGGAGCTGATTCCGATGTAAACACATGAGGGTTGTTTATTCAAGCTTGAGCAGGGACTCCCAACCGTCACCGCCGCAGCGGGTCAAGATTGAGAGCCCCGACTCCAAATCAGCAGGAGTTTTTATGGTGGTTACAGCAAGGTTCTAGATTGGCAATTAAACCTGATTGATTGTGCCTTGTGCACCCAAGCTGCAAACGGTTGCTAACTACTGATTAGCTGTCGGTAGGGGACGGCTGAACACTATCACATGCAGGTGGTTAAAATACATCTTGTGGTTTTTCTTATAACTGAAATTTATGCCACCAAATTTTAGAATGGAGTCACTTAGGTCTTACAGTGGATCTCCAGAGAGATGAGGACAGTTGAGTAGGGAGAGGAGCAGGAAAGGGGAGAGGCTTAGAGCTGGAGGAGAGGAGAGGTGACTCACAGCCCTGACGGACAGCAACGTGGTGTCCTCTGCTGGTGTCTCCTGAACGCTGTTGTCTAAATGTGACAGTGTCTCATGTGTTAGCCTTCTTAGAACCTCTTCTTGGCAATACCCACAGCCTTACTTATCACCTACTCTATGGCTTTGACACTATACCTGTGTCTCCCTGTACCCTGCAGACCTCTCCCAGGAACCCTAGAATCCTGTGTCCATGTATCAGCTCAACTCTGCTGGAACATCCAACAGGTACCTCTACCTTCATTGTCCCCATATGACTCCCTGAGCTCTGCCAACGACATCCTCTGTAGTCCTCAGTATCTCAGGTAGGGGTGACCCTGCCCTGCCTGGAGTTTAGCTGAACGGTTGAACATATACGTTAAGTATAGGTTGTATTATAATATTTGTAAGTATTTTGATGTAACAATGAAATGGCAAGGTTTCTGTTTTGTTGATAATGCGCGTTACCGCAGAGGATGGAAGGCACACCAGGAGCCTTGGAGACAAAGTAAAGTTTTATTTATCCTGTTCAACACTTGAACAAAGTATACACTTTGGGAGGGGGTGTTACAGTGAGGTACTCTGGGTGTACATTTGTTGATTACAGAATTTAATTATGCATTAACAGGCAGAATCAAACATGGCATTGGCTCACATATAATACTGACAGCAGGTTCATTGTGTAATTCAAAATATGAGGTTAATACCTCATTTGCATCTGGGCAGAAAGACAAAACTACTTTAGAGACAAAGACATTTCTGAGATGCAGAAGTTGGCTGGGGCCTGTCCTGGCAGGTGAGGTAGCACAGGCCCAGACATTTTGAACAAAGAAAATTTTAAGTAGGGGATTTCCCATAGTAAGCCCTGCTTAAACTACGGAGGCAAAATTCCCCTTTCAAAATCACATCTTTATATCAAATGATTGACAAACTCCATCATTTCCAAAATTCATTTCAGGTGTGGGAGAGAAGTACTAGATTTCAGCTACAACTGCTCTGCTTCCAGAAGTCCTTCCTTGCCTTCCTTTCCTACAGTATCCTCCTCCCTGCTCACTCTGCTTGGGCCACACAGGCCTCTTGCCTTTTCTTGGGGACACTAGCTCCTGGCTCTGAACATTACCTTAGTTCTGTCTCAGCTTAGAACTCACCGGCCCATCAGGTGCTGGCAGTGAGCACCCTTCCTTCCCAGGTCTTTGTTCTGCTATCAACGTTTCCATGGAGACTTCTGTGATCTCTCCACCTTCCAATGACATCTTTAGCACACACTCACCCCCACCTCTGGTCCATGTTCCCTGCTCTGCAAGTTTCTTTCTGATCCTTCTCAGTCCATTGTCTGGATCCTGGGGATAACGAGGCTCCAAAAGGAGAGCTGAGCCAGAAGGGGGAGGTGAGCTTCGCTTGCCCTCCTGGGTGGTGCTCAACCCTGGCTTCCCATTGGAGTGCTGAGGTGTTCTGCAAATAAGTGTCCTGTGGCACCTACCAGAGAGTCCCATTCCTAAGGTCACCCTGGGACCAAACCTTAGTAAAGTTGATTCATTTAAGTGCACAGCACTAGGCACCCAGACTGTCTCCTGCATCTCTAAGGGCTGAGATCAGCGTGTGATCCATGGAAGAATGAGGGCATGTGTTGTGCATGTGCTTGGTCAGGGCTGGGACTATGTCCTGAAGGAGAACTCAGTGCAGCCCAGCTCCCCACTGCTTCTGGTTGTTGGGGCTTCACCAGGAGGGGGCAGGCTCTATATAAGTGTCAAGGAAGTCTCTGGTTCAGCTTCTGATAGGAGTTGCATATCACTGCATCCCCATCCTCAGGGCAGTGGGCAGCAGAGGACCCATCTTTCCACATGGTGAGGCTATCTTTTGTGTGTGTGGCTGTGTTACAGGAAGGAAATGTGTTTATTTTGAGTTTTAAACAGTATGCTTTTGATGTTCAGGATTAACTTTTAAAGAATCAATGTTACATAAGGAAGAAGCCAACAAGAGGAAAGAAAAGGAATCGAGAATGGCTGTTATCCAGGTAAAGTGCTGATCTCATTTGCTTGTTCTATGTCTCCCTCCTTTGTGAAGCGCTGGATACAGGACTGCTAACCTCCTGTAATCTTGCAGCCTGCTGTGTTTGCTGACACTCAGCGGGGCCACCCTCAGCCTTGCTCATCTCTAGGACTCCATCTCACTGGGACCAGTGACATAGATTATGTGAGGAGTTTCTCCCAAGGGCAGTTGGTTGCTGTGTGGTTCCTAAATCCTTATTTCTGTGAAGGGAGGGAACATCTGGGGCTTTCTCCTCCTCAGTCCTGACATCAGTCCTTCAGAATAGTTGGATAATTTCTTTTCATGAATCAGGAAGTGTCTTTTACATAAGACTGTGGTATATTGCTAATGGGAATGTAAGATATGTCATATGTACATGTCAAGTGCCTGGGTGTTTAATGAGTGCTACTAAAGGTGGAAGATTATTTTCACAGATTTTCATTGCTATATTTAACAAACATTCCTTCTTCCAGGTTATAGTCGTGGTATCTGCTAGGTTTTAACAAATTCAGCTCTGTCTTCCCTAACTTCTTGGTTTCTACCTGGAGTTTGACTAGCCCCCTTTTCTCTTTCACTATAAGGAAGTCTATCCAGTATTTACTACCAATCACAATGTTTGGTGAAATATGCTTGGTAAATGTAAGGCTTAATGGTTTTACATTTTCAAATTACATTTTTGGGGCTGCTTTTCAATTTTTCAGTAATTCTTTTCATCATGTACTTCTGCAGTATGTAATTTTTTCTTTTAATCTGTTAAATTATATTATTTAAAAATTTCAGGCTGGGATTGTAGCTAAGAGGTAAAGTGCTTCCCTGTCTTGCCTGAAGCTCTGAGTTTGATCTAAGCAACATACATTTTTTTAAAAATCCTCATCTTAGAGTTTTATTGAAGTAAATTTCATCAGCATTTTGGTAATGGCTAAACACCTTAATTCAAATTGATAAAGTTATAAATGTATTTCAATCTGAATATTTAGTAGACATTGGAGTTCAACTTCCATTATGTAAGTTTTCATGTGCCATTTAAACATCCTAGTAAAGACTAGTGTTTTATAGTCTAAAGTGTATTTTTTTCAATTTCATTGTCCATAAAATGATGGAATACACATTGCCATAAGTGGTGATTTAAAAAAAAATCGCTGAAAAGAATCATTGAGAAACCTCCTTTTAAATTTGTTCATGTAAGTGTAATGTGTGTGCATGAGTACATAGATATGCAATTCCATGGTGTTTATCAAGGTCACATTATTTTCAATATTTCATTTATTTAAAATCCTTTGCAGTGCTGGAGATCAAGCCTAGGGTCTTGTGCATGGTAGGCAAGTGCTCACTGAGCTACATCTAACCCCTAACTTTATGCTTTTTAAAAGTAGAAACTATATATTAGATGCTTTCTTTTGCCTTAAATTTATACTACACTACCCTGTGAATACATAGGTAGCAGTGAGACCCATACAATATGTGTGCATATGTATATATAAATAATGAACTTTCACACAGATTTATGATGTTATCCTGAACTTGTTTCTCATTTTCTTACTTTGGCAATGTTACTTTATTTATTTTTGTCACTTTATATTTAATGCTGTATCTCTTGCTAAAGTGTTTGATTCTTTAGCTTTCATTCTGATTCCCAGCCACCTAGGTTCAGATGTTTGCTCTGCAATTTTTAGCTCTTTGACCTGAGGTGAGTCTGTGAACACAGTTTACTCCATAGTAACAGGGAAACATTTTTATTGTGGACATATTTTATTACGTTTTTCTATGAATTATCCATGTAAAGCAATTAGAGTAATATCCAGTACCTAGAAGTGTCCAGAAGCTTTGGCCATTCCTGCTGCTGTCATTATCATTCTTCTTAGAATGTGATCTTTCTTTAGAGCTGCTGTAAATCTTGTCATTTCTCAACACACCATTCATCCTCTAGTTCCTATAGATACTGAGTATCACTTTGTGTGTTGGACATAACATCTCATATTTTCATAGAGAAAAGCCTGTGTCTTTATTTGAACATTTCTGGTCCACAAAATGACAAATCTATACTTCATTTAGAGAGAATTATAACTTCTTATGTAAAAGTATAATGAAACACAATTGCAGAGCTATAACATGCTCAGAAATACCTTGCTGTGTGTGAGTATATAGGAGAGACAAACTCACTTCTCCTATCCATTCACCACACAGAGAGCTGTCACTCCACATGTGAGAGGATTTTTCTCCACACTCCAAGCAAGCAGTTCTATGGGGAATGCTCCCTAATTCATTGTAATTCTGACACTGTCTGTGTGGAAACAGCCTAGATCCCACTGCTGAGGGCTCAGACCTACAGAAGTGTCCCCACATCAGATGACAGCTGCAAGCACAAGTTGCAACCTGTGGTTCTGATGATTGGCTATAAATGGAGATCCCCATTCCTACAACCTCATTTTTTGGTTCAAATAATTTTGGTACAGCAGCTCATGAAAATCAGCAAAACACTTAGCCATAGTATTTGTTATAAAGCTTGTTAAAAAGATGGATACCCAGATGGAAAAGATGCAGAGAGTGAGATATGGGAAAAGGAACATGGTGTGTCCATTCCTTCTGTGAATGCTTCACCTTGCAGGAAACGTCCAGACATTCATCCATCTGATGGTTCCTTTGAATCCTGTCCTTTTGAGTTTTTATGGAGGGTTCATTACATAGGCATGATTCATTTTATTATTGACATTGCTGATTAAAATTTTAGATGCTCTCCCTTCTCTGGAGGTTGCAAGTATGAGTGAGTGTCATGACTGTGTAATCCTTCCTGCCTGGCTCTTCTTGATGACCAGGCTTTGTGCTGAAGCCACCTGAGAACCTCCTGGCACATTACCTCATTAGGATATAAAACCATTCTTATCACACCAGAAATTGGAAGTCTGCTGTGTCAGAAAACTCTTGACATCACCGCATGGATATAGCTCATTTACTTCAGTTGCATCTATTGTTACATTTCCTTCCTTTTCATTTTATGTGACAATTACAACTCTTGCCAGTTCCCTGTGGTGAAATATGTTTTTCATTTCAGGGTCTGTTGACATTCAGGGATGTGGCCATAGAATTCTCCCAGGAGGAGTGGGAAGACCTGGCCCCTGCTCAGAGGACTTTATACAGGGACGTGATGTTGGAGAACTACAGGAACCTGGTCTCCCTGGGTGAGGATGACTTCCTTCCCGAAGTCAGATCTACTCTGTCTCTTTGCATTTTCCCTTCTCTCTTCATGGAATCCTCTGCATTGTTTGACTGAGATAGATGCCCGCTTGCCTCTGAAATGTGAAGCTTCAGAATACAGCATCTGCATTTTAACTGTCCTCTTTCTTCAGGTGCTCTGCCCCTTTTGTGATAGATATGTCGCTGGTGGGTCCAGAGTCACAATATGCATGAAACCTTATAGCAGACTTTAAAAATAATCCAGTTTCCTGTTTTTTTCCCTTTGTACTTTTAAATTATTTGTCCTTGGCAGAGAGCTAGATATCTGTATAAAACCGAAATATTTGTCTGGATCACTGTAATCTCAAGTAAATGGTGCTAGAGTGTGGAAAAACCACAGCGCATCACATGCCTTCCTTTTTCCAAGCAGGAATCTCTCCTTTTGACCTGAGTGTTGTCTCCTTGTTGGAGCAAGGAGGAGAGCCCTGGAGTGTGGATGGCCAAGTGAAAGTATCCACAAACCCAGTCAAGTGGGAAAGTGTCAAAGGTGTGAACACAGGTAAGAGCTTAGCCAGAGCAGAAGCTGCACCATTAGTGTTTGGGAAACTTTAGTAGTGAGAGTCTGTGGGAAAATAAGTTTGCTTCCTCTGTGCTTATATAGTAGGGATTTCTTTACTACCAGTTGTCACCTGTCACCCAGGTGAAAGGTGACAGTTGATTCTTTTACTCATCCGTGGTACTACTGCTCAGAGACATAGGCAATGTCTCTGTCATGGTTGACAACACTGTGTCGTTGGCTTCTGTGAACTCTTCTTGTCCTCACTATGTTGTGTGGGAAGGGCCCTTTCATATCTCCCATTAGACTCTTGTGCTCTTACTTCCATCTGATGCTCGGTTCTCTTTCCATAAATGTCAGAGCAGAGGTCTCCATCATCCTGATCCCACACCATGTTCCATGTCCATGTTTGATCCCATTTCCTATGCTTGGAAGATCCAGCCAGGAGATGGGAAACCATGGCTGCTCATCCCTATATCCAAGACCCCAGAAACCACACTGAGCTAACCCATCTGTCTCTCTGTGCTGTGGTGACTCCGCCCTTTCTTCCTTCCTTTAACACTTCTCAGCTTTGTATAATGTGAGTGTGATAGATCTTCTGAGATTGTTATTCCTCAGCTGTAAAGGTCGCCAAAAGGCAGGTCCTGTCTTTGATCAGTGGTCCTCTGTGGGGAGTACATGTGCAGTCTTTCAGGCTCTTAGCACAGGGTGTATGGACAACAGATTTCCATCTCAAGGTCCCACAAAATCCTTGAGTTCCATGTATTAAGTTTCTTTTTCTTCTACTACTCTTCCTAGTCGGTAAGTGTAGAGAAACCTTGGCTCTTCCTGATTTTCCTTTTTGGTTTTTACTGTTTGTGCTATTTTGCCTGTGAAATTTACTTTTTCTTTGTTAATTGCATTGGTGGTACTGGGGGTACTATTTAGGGTTTTCCTAGGACTAAACTGTATCCTTTAACCCTTGTTATTTTTATTCTAAACCAAGGTCTTACTAAGTGCCCAGACTGGCATCAAGCATGCAGTCCATCTTCTCCCTTAATTTCCAAGTAGCTGACACACAGCAAATTGATACAGTTTGTATGCAAATTCCTGTGATCTGACATATCATCTTTTTCTGCTGTGAAAACCCACTCTGAGGTTAATTGTGGCTTATTGTGGACCATTCCATGGAGTGTGTTTATGTAACAACTCGTGAAGCAGAATAGTTTGCCTAATAAGTTTGACTATCATTCTCCCACCTGCCAGGTGCCCCTGGAAACCCTGAGTGGGGTTCTCAGCCTGTCTCCAGATATTTGAGACTCTAGAAACCACACTGAGCTGTTGCAACAGATACAAATATCAGTAGCACCTGACTGAGCCTTGTGTCTAGCTGTCTTGTGGTTTTTGAGACTATCACAGAAGTGTCTTTGTAGCACAGTGAAAATATTGGTCACATACAGTGATAGTGGTCTCCTTTGAGCCAACGATCAGAGCCAGTGATCAGTGGCACAGATAAATCGCTTAGCAGCATATTTCTCAGGTTCATGGTCTCATATGCATGAGGCTTTGCAATACTGCTCTTTGTGCCCCACAGGTGTCATTGTTCATTTTCAACAACAAACCTTTGCTCAGGCCTTTGTTCAGTGTAGTGTAAGCTGAAACGTATAAAAACATGGTTTCTGTGCATCTTACTGAGATACCTTATGAAGCTGAATGATGTCTTAGATTTTAAAGGCTACCATCATTTGTTTAAGACAGTCATCTTTATTATACCCCCCACACCCCTCCATACTGGGGATCAAACTCAGGACCTTGCACTTGCCAGATAGGCACAGTGCCACTGAGCTAAATCCCAGACCCAGTAATCTTTAATCTTATACCTTTCCATGTGGTACAAATGAACCTTTTTATGTGTTTAATCAGCAGTAGCATTCTTTGTTTTATATCTGCAATTTGTGACACTGTTCAATTAAGGATTATCTATTGCTTTACATATTTAGAAGATTTTCTTCACTGCAGAAAGTGTAACTCATAAAATTCACAAGATCCCTGAAAAGTCTGATTTCCTTTAGTTTTTTTTTTTTTTTTTTTTTTTTTTTTCCGGTACCAAGGATTGAACTCAGGACTTTGCACTTGCAAGGCAGTCACAGTACCAACCTTTAGTTTTGTTTCACATAACTTAGAACATACCGTTAAAGTGTACCCCTCACCCCATCCCCGTACTGGGGCTCAAACTCAGGACCTTGCACTTGCAAGGCAGGCACGGTGCCACTGAGCTAAATCCTTGGCCCGAAAGTATACTTTTGTGTGTTACATTTATTTTTTTTCAATTTGGAACTTTTGAAATCTTGACCACATCATTTTTTGTTTTATTAATTCCTGTCTTAATCTCAGAAATGTCTGTAGATGGCGTTCTTTCTTTTGTTATTTAATACTTTTTTCCCCTATTGTGTGTTCTCAATTTTGTAAACTTCTGTGTTTTATTTATGTATTACTGATTTGTTATTTCTTGGAACAAATGTTGTTTTGTTTTTTTGACACAGGTTCTCGCTATTCAGTTTAGGCTGGCCTTGAACTCACTCTGTAGCCCAGCCTTGCATCAAACTCATGGCGGTCCTCTTGCCTCATTGTCCCAAGTGCTGGGATTAAGGCATGCACCACCACACATGGCTACAAATGCTATATTCTAATCATTGTTTTTTCCATATAGATTCATTGTGTTCATCTTGCCATACAGTGATACCTTGGTAGTCAAAGTGAATTTGTTACAAATTTTTATTTGAACACTGAAAAATTTGAGAACTAATTGTATATTTTCCATATAAAATAATGGAAAACCAAATCATTGGTTCTGAGGCCCCCAAATTACACTTAAATTCATTTTTCTAAGACTAACAAATTTCACAGTGATTTCTTCCTTTAACTATCATGGTTCTAAATTTTCCTCTGACCTTTACTTCTAGTACCACTAACTTTCTTTGAAGGTATAGTTAAAATATTTTATGCAAATAAAGCACAGTGATGAATATTTTAACACCCTAACACAGCTATTATATGTTGTCTGCATGACAGCGGCACTTAAACTGAATCGTCACCCCTTTGGTGCCGCAGCAAGTCTACTAATACATACATTAGTATTTCTTGTAATATACCTCTGTAAAATTTTGTCAAATGAATTTTATATTGAATGAACTGAACAGAATGAGATTATACTATACTTTTCTTGCTTCTTGAATTTAATTCAGTTGATTGGCATGAATATTTAAATCTACTTTTTCCTCCATCTTATTTTTTCCTTTACCATGGACAACTGCCATTCTTTTTATTCTCATGAATTTGACTATCTTAGATGGCTTATATATTTGGAATTGTACAGTGTCTGTTTTTCATGACTCTTGTTCAGTTCACATTCACTGAGCATAGTATCCTCCAGATTTATCTGTATTTCATAGAACAGGATTTCTGTCTTTTTAAAGGATGCACAGTATTCCGTTATATCTGAGCTTTCCTCTGTTTTCCACTGATATCAAAATCCTGAGTCTGAATAATATATGAAGAAAAGGCTTTTTAGCTCATACTTTCGGACCCAAAAGACCAGGATCAGGTGTCCCTATTTGTACATCCTGTAGTGAGGGCAACTTGGCAGGATCATGTGTAGAAGAGATTGTATGGTGAGACAGGAAGCCTGCATTAGTCAGGTGTGCAGTGTATAACAGTGCACTCACCAGAGCTAACTCACTCTTCCAGACCTGCATTAATCTCTTCTGTGGGCAGCAACCCCAGTGAGCTTATTACTTCCCACTTCCCACTGGGCTCCGCCTCTTTATGGCCCTTCACTTCCCAAGATTACCATACTGAGGGCCAAGTGTCCAAAACATGAACTCTTGGAGAACAAACGACCAAAAAAACTGTAGCCATATTTTGTGGATCCTCTTGGGTTGCTTCCATCCCTTGGTTACCGTGAATAATACTAGTATGAGTGTTGGTTTACAAATACCTCTTGCAGAATACGTTTTTCATTGTGGGGGGTACATACCCAGCAGAATTGTGGATTATATGGCTTGAGACTCATGGTAATTCTCCTGCCTCCGCCTCCTAGGTGCTGGATTTACTGGTGTGCATGACAACACCCAACTGGTATTGAGTTTTGGAAATAGGTTTTCTCTGTCACCTGAAATAATCATGTGATTTTTTTCTTTCATTCTGTTTATGTGGTGCATGAATTGATGTTATCTTGATATTCCAGGAATAAATCTCATGTAGTCATGGTTTTTGATCTGTTTTAATGTGCTTTGGTTTGTATTCTGTTCAGGAGTTTATACCAAATGTATCAGGGATAGTATTGATCATTAGTTTCTTTGTTCTCTTGGTCTGGCTTTTCTGTCAAGGTAATATACCTTATAGAACAAGAGTGGTCTTCCCTCTTTCTTCATATTTTGGAAGAATTAGAAGGAGATTGCTTTAGTTCTTCTTTAAGTATTTGGTAGCATTCTCCGCTAAGGACATTGAGTCCTGTCCTTTTCTTTTTGGGGAGGTTTTTGGTGAATTGACTCAATTTCTTTGCTACTGGTCTGTTTTAAATTTTCTTTTTCCTCATGCTTGTTTATTTTTAGGATTTTTATCCATGATATTTTTTCTTGGCCATATCTGTTTTGCAATATTGTTCCTTTTTATTTGCATACAACTAAATATTTGTAAATATTTGTATTCCCCCTCTTTTTTGTGATTTTATTGAGTCTTCTGTTTCTGTTAGTTAATTTAGCTATGAGTTTTATTAATGTTGTAAGTATTTTATGTATAAAACCTCATAGTTTCATGATTTTCTGGAGTGCTATTTAGTATTTAGTAATTTTCAGCCCTATCACTTGTGGCAGTGGATGTCAGTTATTGTGTGGTGTACTTTCTAGTACCCCAGATGAGGAACTGTAGCTGAAAATTGTACCAAACCCTGTATATACTGTCTTTTTCCTATGCATGAATAACTAAGATAAAGTTTTACTTACAAATTAGGCACAGGATGGTATAAGTGACAATAGCTAATAGTAAAACAGAAAAATGCTGCTAACAATAAACTTTGATAAAATATAGGTGATTAGTCTCTGGTCTCTCAAAACTTTTGTCCTCACTCACTCTTCTTGTGATGAGAAATGCCTGTTTGCTGTGAATGACATAAGCACTGTAACATAGGGTCAGGCCATTGCTGGCCTTCTGGCAACAAGTGATAAGGCAGAACTTTTGCTTTGAGTTCTTCTCTTTTTTTTTTTGATACCAGAGATTGAACTTGGGTCCTTGCACTTGTGTAGCAGGTGGCGAAACCACTGAGCTAAATCCCCAGCCCTGCTTTGGGTTATTCATCATTGAGCCATGGCATGGCAGTGCTTGGGGATCTTCAGTGGTTGATAGCTGGTTTGACCTTTCGCTTTTCTTTTTATTTTGTTTTTCAGTTTCACTAATGTGACTGATAGTAGACCTTCTGCTAGGCTTGTTTCTTCAAAGCTTTCTCTGTCTGCTTAGCCAGAGAATCATCAGTTTGCACCCATCCTCTCTCTAGATTGCTATACACTTGATAAAAGTTACATTGAGTTTCTGCGCAGGAATAGAATTAATTCACCATCTCATCTATTGGCTCTTTCAAGGTTTTTGCTTTCATGTCCTCCTTAGAACATTTCTGCACATAATCCCTTAAAATATGTAAATAAAATTTGGTTAAATATATACCTAGAACTTACAGGTCATTCAGTTTGGTAAAGTTCACTTAAGATACTTTAGGAGATGTAAATCTGCATTCTTCCCCACCATCACACTCCTACCTTGTTAACTATTAACTCTCTTCTATTCTCCCCCCACATTTGAACTCTCCTTCCCATAGTTAAGAATGGGACAGTTTCATGCCACTTGCTATATCCATTTCTGTTTTCAGAAGTGATAGCAATATTACCTGCCCTGGTACAATTAATTACAGTCCCAAGGATTTACTAGCACAAATGTAGCTCCCTCATGCCCATCACTCACTCCCGTCCATGCTTATCTTTTTTCATGTGGCTCCTTGATTTTGATGCACTGTGCAGGTACTTCTTAGTATATTTCTTTTAGTCTACATACTCCAATTTGCAGAAGACTCCCATACTTACCTCACTGTGTAAGGGAAGACACTCATCCTTTAGATGTCCTCAGGACACTACCTAAATTAGTGTGTGCAGTCTTGATGACTCAAATAACATTGTCTATGAGGGATGGCTAAGTGATACAGCACAGCTCAGCTCTTCTCTTTCTTTTGAAATGTTACTTTCCATGCTTGTATTTACTATGACTTCGTATATTATGTACTGCTTGTGTGAATAGGTATCTTTTGCAACATGTTGACTGATCATACAGGCCAAGAATCAAATCCTATTTCTCTCACTTATAGATAGAGTTAGAAAAATAAATGATATTGATCTACTCTTCTTAACTGAAAAGTAAGGTTAACATATCTCAAGATTTTGTACAAAATAGTGCTGTGAAATAGTTAATAATAACAATTTTATTTATTTGTTTGTTTGGTACCAGGGATTGAACTCGGGTCTTTGCACCTGCGCAGCAGGTGGTGAAACCACTGAGCTAAATCCCTGGCCCAACAATTCTATAGTAAATAGTTCAAAATTTCTTTCTTTATAAGACTGATATACTTTCTGTCCTTTTTATTATGAAAGGATCTTTTTCGTATCTCATTTACCTCCATCTTCCATTAGAAATAACATAGACTAGTATGCTTTAACCACAAAATTTTATTTCTCAACAATATGTCAGAAAATTTAATGATCAAGGTACCTATTGAATTAGTGTATGCAATGTGAGTGTTTTGGTCACAGTTTCTTTCAAACTGAGGATTTCTCCTGTTGTTTTGAATTACATATAATCAAATTATTCCTTTTGTTTTCCTAAAATATAAAAATCATGACGTTTCATAATTATAATGATTTGTTTTGATGTAATGTCATGTATTTGAGTAACAATTCACTTACCACCTGTAATTAGTCAGAACCCAACAATTTCTTATATTTCATAGATACCTCTCCTAAATGTGTCATCAAGGAATTTCCCCCCAGAGGAAGAAGTGGTACCAGAGAAATGTTCCAGACAGCAATGTTGCAGAAACATAAAATCCATGACATTCAAGAATTGTGCTTCAAAGAAATTGAGACAAATATACATGACTCTGAGTGTCATTGCAGAGAGGATGGAAGACTTGACACAGGATTCTGTGTGAATCAAAATGAAAATCTCACTGACAGAAGAGATGAACATGGTCAAAGGAATGCAGGAGAGAAACATAGTAATTGGCTTGGATTAACCTTTCAGTCACATTTGCCTGAACTGCAACTGTTTGAAAGACAAAGGAACATTTATGAGTGCAATTATATTGAGCAGTCTATCAACAGTGATTCTTCCATTTCATCCAACCAAAGAAATCCTTCTAGTGTGAAAAAAAATATTTCTCATGAATATGAAAATGATTTTCTTCAGTCTTTATCTTTCACCCAAGAACTGGTGATGCACATTAGTACAAAACCTTACAAATGGAATGAGTGTGGAAAAACTTTTACCCAAGGTTCACAGTTTACTATGCATCAGATAGTCCATGCTGGGGAGGAACACTTTATATGTGATATATGTAGCAAAGTCTTCAATCAGAAATCAAATCTTATAAGCCATCGGAGAATGTATACTGGAGAGAAGCCTTATAAATGTCATGAATGTGGAAAAGTCTTCAGTAAAAAGTCATATTTAGCAGAGCATCAAAGAATCCATACTGGAGAGAAACCTTATAAATGTAATGAATGTGGCAATGTTTTCAGGTATAGGTCATCTCTATCAAAGCATCAAAGCATCCATACTGGAGAGAAACCTTACAAATGTAATAAATGTGGTAAAGTGTTCAGTTGTAATTCAAACCTTGCAGAACATCTGATAATTCATACTGGAGAGAAACCTTTCAAATGTTATGACTGTGGGAAGGCATTCAGTCACAATTCCTGCCTTACCTGTCATCTTAGGATTCATACTGGAGAGAAACCTTACAAATGTAATGAATGTGGAAAGGCCTTCAGACAAAAGTCAGATCTTGCAAGTCATCGAAGAATTCATACTGGAGAGAAACCTTACAAATGCAATGATTGTGGCAAGGTGTTCAGTGTTCACTCATCTCTAGCAAAGCATCGCAGAATTCATACTGGAGAGAAACCTTACAAATGTAATGAATGTGGTAATGTTTTCTGTTGTAAGTCATCCCTAACAATGCATCAAAACATTCACAGTAGAGAGAAGCCTTACAAATGTAATGAATGTGGTAAAGTGTTCAGTTGTAGTTCATATCTTGTACAACATCTCATAACTCACACTGGAGAGAAACCTTTCAAATGTAATGAATGTGGTAAGGTGTTCCTTCGGAAGTCCCACCTTGCAAGTCATCGTAGGATTCATACTAGAGAGAAACCTTACAAATGTAATCAATTTGGCAAGATCTTTAATTAAATTTCACACCTTGTGAATTATAGAATTCCCACTGCCAAGAAACCATAAAAATGTAACAAGTGGGGAAAAGTATTCTATCCAATTTCCCATCTACATTATTAAACAGTTCATACTGGAGAGAAACCTTTCACAGTGTAATGAATGGGAAAAGTCTTTAGTCACAAATCCTACATTGGACAACATCTGATTATTCATACTGGAGAAAAACTTCAGAATTGTAATAATTGTAGGAAGGTCTTCAGTTTAAACTCATCTAGCAAATCATCAGAGAGACAGTGCTGGAGAGAAATCTTACAGATGTAATGACTGTGGTAAAGTGTTCAGTTGTAATTTATACCTTGCAGAACATTGGATAATTGACACTGGATAGAAAACTTTCAAATGTAATGAATATGGCAAGGTGTTCTGTTGCAGATCCCACACTGCACATTGTCGTAGGATTCATACTGGGGAGAAAACTTACAAATGTAAAAAATGTGGCAAAGTATTCTGTCTAAACTCATTTCTAGCACATAAGAGAATTCATACTCCAGAGAGACCTTCAAAATGTAATTAATGTGACAGTGTTCAGTCTAAAATCCCTAGCACATCATTGGAGAATTCATACTTGAGGGAAACCTTAGAAATGTAATAAATGTGTTGCATATCTTTAGTCAAATTTGACATCTTACGTACCAGAGCACTCAAAGGGAAGCGAAATCTTACAAATTCAGTATCTGTAGCAAAGCTGTTAGTGTGTGTGTAAGCCTAAGTAAGCATATAATCCATACTGGAAAAAATATGGCTTAGTTTTCTGTGACAGTTCCTAACTTGGAATTCATTAGAAATCTCATCGTGAAGAGAGCTGATGGCTGAATGAGGCAGAAGACTTCAATCAGTGTAAAGTCTTTACAATATTGGACAGTTCCTGCTGTAAAGAAATTTCATATGTGATCAGTAAGGCAAGCCTTGAGTTTTTGTGTGTGTGTGTGTTTTTGTTTGTTTGTTTGGTACTGGGGATCAAACTTGGGACCTTACACTTTTGAGGCAGGCACTGGAACCACTGAGCTAAATCCCTGGCCCGCCTTGAGTTATTAAGTCTTACTAACCATAAGCTAATCCATAATGGAAAGAAAACCTAGCAGTGTATTGGTTGTAACAATGCTTTGAGGTGAAAATTAGACATTACTATTCACCAGAAAATTCAAACTGGAAGGCACCTTTCAAATGGAATGAGCAATAAATCTGCAAATACGCACTCAAGCCTCTACACATTAAAAAATATATCTTCAAGAAAAACCTTAGAAAAATAATCAGTTTGGCAAATCCTATTCTGTGCTTGCACTTCAGTGACTTATCAGACAACCTATCCTGGAGAGAAACCATAGATATGTGATGAATGTACACATTCACACCTTGCATAACACTGGAGAATTCAAACAACTGATAATGCAATGAGGGTGGCAAAACCTTAATGATGAATTCAAGCAGTAGTCAATATCCCAATCTATTCTAAAAAACAAGTTATTTTTTTAAAAAATTGATGTATATAAAACATTTCCACACCTCAGAATTCACTACACATCAAAAGATAAATCTTTGAGGGAGCCATACAAATGTAATGGGTATACTAAGTTTTTGTCTAAGCATTATAGCTACGAAATAGAATGGTAGAACTGGGGAGCCAGCCTTGCACATTAGTGAATATAGTGAGTTTTTTCAAATGTTCATTTTGTTGTCATAAAAAGATTTGTTCTACAGTGAAACCAGACAAATGAAGTGAGCTTAGAAAGTTCATTTTTGCCAGGTATAGTGATACATGCCTTTAATCCCAGCATGTGGGAGGCTAAGCCTGGAAGATAGCCAGAAGTTTGAGGCCAGCCTGTGGGACAGAGTTAAAAGCCAGTTTGAACTGACCCTGCCTCAAACACAAAAATTCTTCAAAATGTGTACTCAGGATTTACCAAAGAATTCCTAGTCCAAAGAACTCTCACAAATATGGTAAATTATTTAGCCAACTCTCATAATGTACTCCATACCATAGAATTTATATGAAGAATAAAGTCTACCAAGGTTAAACTGACGTGTACACTGCATAATAGTTACAAGTTAAACTATGTTAAGATTCATGATATATGTCAAAGGTGCAAGGACATTTGTAAATGACTAGATACTTCCAGGATATAAAACTTCTTTGAGATTTTTTGGAAAGGCTCTCTTTGTATTTAAATTTTAACTTGAATTTTGAAAGCTGTTCTTAAGCTTTCCTTACAGGCATTTCATGGAGTTATCTAAAAAGGCATCAGTAGAGTGAAAGGCCTTACCTCGTGAAATGAGCAACACTTAAGAACAGGGACAGTGCCCTTTAAAATTAAATATTGTTTGTATTAAAAGAGTATTTGGGACTGATGTCATGGTGCATGCCTATAATCCCAGCCTCCTGGTAGCATGAAGTAGGGGAACCACATTTGGTGCTAGCTAGGGAACTAGTATGACCATGTGAAACTAAAAAATTTGTGTGAAACTAAAATAAAATACTGGGGGTGTGTTTCAGTGGTAAAGCACTCCAGTAGCATGTTCAAAGTCCTATCTTCATTCCTCACAATGTGTAGAGTAATTTAAAATTGTATCAGTCATCTCCTGTTACATTTGCCAGAAAGATGTAAAAGAAACATCTGCCTCCAAATTGAGAGGGTACAAAGCATGACTTGGACAAGTACAGCTTGGCAACTAATGGTTTGTTAAGGGTTAATTACAGAGCAGAAGACAATTTGCTGTAGCACTCCTGAAGTTTCTAATCCCTTTTGCTAAACTGAATTTATAAGGCTCTATGGTATCAGCAAAAAAGCACGAGGAAAAGACTAGAGTCCTTGGGATTACTTATGTGTACTGCATTCCCATCCCATCCTTCTGAGGACCTCTGCTGGTCTCGGCAAGCACTGAAGACAAAATATTTGAAGACTTTGTTATGCTGCATTCTGGCACAGAGCCTCAGCACCTGGTGAGGGCCTACTAGACAGCTACACAGTGAAACAAGATAAGAGTATCTATCACTACCTCTACCATTTACACTCTCGGATATTCTCTGTATTACTAAGGGGTGTGCCCTGATTACTCATCCACCCCTAGTATAAGATTGTTCACTACCTGTGAATGTCAAGATCCAGATTCTCCAGTGGCGGGTCTGTTAACTCATGATGAAATTGATTCAGCACAGGATTTTTTAGCAGACAGAATGTAAAAATTTTTTTTGTTTTAGCAGAGTCTTTTGTAACAGTTATCAGATACTGATACCTAAGAACTCTTCCTTTACGAGCTCCTAGCTTTGTTTACCTTTTAAATGGCTAACACTGACTACATCTTGATTTTTACAGCTCTTGTTTTCCATATATTCTCTCCTTGTCCTTATGAGAGTTTGTCTGAAAGCATCATTAATCATTATTTCCACTGTCCATCACCAGTAAAATACTGTTCCAGTTATTGATCTCTTCTGGTCCTGCATTAGAGGGGAAGTGAAGAATGAAAGTCAATGACATAGCTCTTTTAGCCACATTTGAGCAACAAAGGTTAGAAGGTTTAACTCTTAGGCTTAACAAAACCAACGAGCAAAACCCAAACACAAAAGAGACAATCAAATTTCCTTTCATGAGGCTCATTTTCCACACACCGTTTTGTACTTAATGTTCTGGTTTTGTCCTCATCTTTCTTTTCTCAATCTGGTAGGGCAAAATCTTACCATACAACATCCTTTCATACCAAAAATATATCCTCAACATTTGTACATCTCTTTTTCTGTCCTACTTAGTGGTTTCCTATCATCACTAGCCCTCTGGTGACACATTTCAAAACACTATGGTATTGGGTTGTCTCATTTGGTCTAAGAGCTAACTCACAGATACTTACATTCCATGTAGAACTAGGTAACATTTCCAACTAACTTTGAACAGCAAAATGATTTTAGCCACTCGGCGCAACCAACCACCACAAGCCGAGGAGCCAGGCAGCGAGACGCCCCCCCCCCCAGCTTCTGGCCTCCTGGCTCTTCTGCTACCTGGTTCCACACTACAGAGGCACAGGGGATTATAAAGGCCCTTCTCCTGAGCACCACAAGATAGAGCAGAAGTTAACAACAGAAAGAGGCCTCTCAGGCTCCTCAATGAAAACAAGAGCAGGGAAAAAGTAAAGAGAATCTACAATAAAGGCACACCAGACCACCGTACTTGGTAAGTTGGAGGGATCATCACCTCCCATCGAAACCTGCACTATCTTCAGGGGAAGGGAAACTGGAACCTGCAATAGAAATTTGCAGAGTTCAACCCTACAGGACAGGGAGCTCAACTTGGGACTAGCAGCCACAAATCTGCCTGAATCTCACAGGTCTGCTACTGGCTTGCTGAGACTCATTGACTTGTATATGCACATGGCTGCCTATGTTGCCTACTGTGACAGCAGAAACTACCCTGAAGGAGGCCCTTCATTTTTATTTTTTGTTATTTGCAAAAAAGAAAAAAATGTTTTTCTCTTACTTTTAGTTCTTTATTTTTACTTTTTCCTACTCTGCAAATTTTTATTTTGCTCTTTCTTTTATCCTCTCTCTCTCTCTCTCTGTCTCTCTCTCTCTCTCTCTGTCTCTCTCTCTGTCTCTCTCTCTCTCTGTCTCTCTCTCTCTCTCTCTCTCTCTCTCTCTCTCTCTCTCTCTCTCTCTCTCTCTCTCTCTCTCTGTCTCTCTCTCTGTCTCTCTCTCTCTCTGTCTCTCTCTCTCTCTCTCTCTCCTCTCTCTCCACATTGCTCTTCATTTCCCTGTTTGTTCCTTTCTGGACTGAATTTGGATTTCTCCTTTATTTTTCTTTTCTTCTCTTTTTCCTTCTCTTGATTACCATTAGTTTTCAAAGAAAGTAAATACAGTATCTAGCCTCCTTATTGCTGGTAGGTGATTCTGTTCACGTCTTTGTTCTTTCATTCTGCCTTTTCCTCTTGCCTTTAAGAATTTCTTAGAGATTGTGTGATCTTCCTGTGTCTTCTGGCCTCACTGCTAATCTTTCCTGATCTTTCTACCTGTCCCTCCCTTCCCAACTCCTTCTAACTCCCCATCCTGAAGGGTAAAGTTGCTAAATTGAAGAGTTTATTCAATATAAACATATGTTGGGTTGGTCCTCGGTTTTGATTTAATTCACACAGTTAAATGTGATAGATTAATAACTACCACAAATTGTCATTTTCTAAACTGTGCTTGATGCTATGGTGTTGCTGATTGTATCATTTGGACTAAGATGTGATTGATCTAATCAGTTTTCCTTCCTGGTATAATGAAAATGAAATAGCCTCAGAGTCATTAGACTCTCAAAACCTAAACACCAGCTATATCTGGAAGACACCTCTGGAAAGCAATCATTCCACAAGTGTTTTAAACACACACATCAAAGATACCTACATTAAGCAATTTTGAAATAGCCACCCAGTGATTAAACCAAGGACAGTACCAAAAACAAAAATGAGAAGACATTTAAGCAAGGCACAAACTCAGTCTTCCACCCCACAAAAGGCAAATTTGGGGGGAAATGAGGTAGAAAAGTCTGATAATCAACCACCTGGACACCCTGAACTGATAGCACAGAACGTAACAAAATAGATGCATGAGGCTCTAGAAAAATTCAAAGCAGAAATAATCTCCCAGATAACTACAGAGATGGTGAGCAGAGTGAAAAACATGAATAGAGGATCTAGAACAGAAACATAAAACAATAGATGAGATCAGAAACATGCTGGAAGCCATGAATGCCCAACATAAGAAATGGAAAACGTGATCACCCAACATAAGAAAGAAATGGAATCCTTGAAACAGATTCAAACAGATATTCAGGAGATTACAACCTCCATTGAAAGCATGCAGAGCAGGTTAAGAGAATCTGAAGACAGAATATCAGATATAGAAGACAGGATTGCAGTTAAGGACCATGAAAACAGATTTCTCAAAAATAGTAAGAAACCACGAGAAATCAATTCAGCACCTGCTAGATGATGCAAAGAAGAATAACAAGACTGATAGGAGTCCATGAAAAAATAGTTGAAAGTACAATTGACAAAAAAAAAATTGTTCACAGACGTAATAGAAAACTTCCCAGACAGAGGTGGAGAATTGGACATACAGATAAGTGAGGCATATAGAACTCCAACTAGCCATGATCAAAAAAAATCTACACCTAGACATATAATAGTAAAGATCCCAGAAACCCAACAGAAGAACAAAATCCTACAGGC